GCCAGGACGCATTCTCATCTGAGGGGCTGGCTGGGAAGGGGTCTGCTTCCCGGCCCACTCAGACTGTGGGCAGGACTATCTCTCGCAGCTGTGGTGCAGAAGGCTCTGGCCCTTGTCTGCTGCTTGTCTGCTGGAGGTGGCTCTCAGCGCCTAGGTGTCACCCACGCTCCTTGCCACGTGGGCTCCTCCAGCACACTGCTTAGATCCTCTGGCCAGCAGGGGAGTCTCTCCCTACGGCCTGCTAAGCCAGTCTGATATAATGTGATGCTGTCTTGGCAGTGACATCCCATCGCCTGTGCCACAGTCTGTCGGTTGGCAGCATGACCAGCAGGAGGCTGGGGTCATGGGCGCGGCGACCTTCAGGCCTGCCTGCCATATCCGAAAGCGACAGCCTATGACTCCTCAGCGCCAGACACTGTTCTAGGTGCTTCTCATGGACTATTTCGTTTAATCTTCAGGACAAGCCCCTGATGTGCTACAGTTATCACCACTGTGCTGATGAAGAAATGGCAGCACAAGGGGTTAAGCAACAGCCGTGTGGGCAGGCAGGTGGAGTTTAGACTTTAACCAAGTACTCTGGCTCCAGGGCGCAGACTCTTCGCCACCATCTGATCCGGCCTCCCAGGCTGCTTGTGAAGATAAACCACACAAGATGCCGAGGACAGATCTTGGTACAAGACCTGACAAATATTACCCCAAAATAACCCGTTGTGCATTGGCCTCCTCTGGCAGCCTCTGCTTGCACCCTGTACCCACGTGGTGGCCGTATCCACAGTCGGTTCACATCCCAGCGTAACCAAACCCAGGCCCCAGAGCACTGCAGAGCAAGATGGGGAGGCGGAGGAATGACACTGTGTATTGTTTCCTTCGCCTGAAACACTCCCAGCCCGGATCCACTCGCCTCTCAGGCCTCACTTGTTTCCTGTTGCTGCTGTAACAAAATATCACAAATTTAGTGGCTTAAAAATAATATGCATTTATTAGCTTACAGTCCCAGGGGCCAGAAGTTCCAGATGGGTCTCACTGGGCTAAAGTCAAGGTGTCAGCAGGATTGTCTTTCCTTCTAGAAGATCTAGGGGAGAATCTGCCTTTTCGCCTTTCCTGGTTTCCAGAGGCACCTGCATTCCTTGTCTTGCGGTCCCTTCCTCCACCTTCCGAGTCAGCGGGGGCTAGTGGGGTCTTTCTCACGTCGCAGCACTGGCTCCTCCTCTGCCCTCCAGTTCTCCTGTTAAGGACTCCTGTGATTACACTGGGGCCACCCAGAGAATGCAGGATAAGCTTCCTATTTTAAAGTTAGGTGATTAGTCACCTAATTCCATCTGCAACCTTAATTCCCCATTTGCCACATAACATAACATATTCTCAGTTCCAGGGATCAGGACATGGATCTTTCTGAGGGCCATTCTTCTGCCCAGCACAATTCCACGGGGGTCGGGGTTGGGTGCTGCACCTGGGGCTCTGTGGCCTTCTTCTCCCATCCCATCGCCACCCTTAGCCTCCTCCAGGGCCTCAGACTCACACTCGGGCCAGGAGCTGATGGAAATTAATCCTTCAAGTGTAAGGGAATGAGGGGTGGTAGCATGTAGCCAAGGAAAATCTGTTTCTTTTCTTTCTTTCTTTCTTTTTTTTTTTTTTTTTTTTTTGAGACAGAGTCTCACTCTGTTGCCCGGGCTAGAGTGAGTGCCATGGCCTCAGCCTAGCTCACAGCAACCTCAACCTCCTGGGCTCAAGTGATCCTGCTGCCTCAGCCTCCTGAGTAGCTGGGACTACAGGCATGCGCCACCATGCCCGGCTAATTTTTTTCTATATATTAGCTCGCCAATTAATTTCTTTCTATTTATAGTAGAGGTGGGGGTCTCGCTCTTGCTCAGGCTGGTCTCGAACTCCTGATCTTGAGCTATCCTCCCGCCTTGGCCTCCCAGAGTGCTAGGATTACAGGTGTGGACCACCGTGCCTGGCTGAAAAGCTGTTTCAAATTCAAAAATTTTAAAACACTTTGCTGGCCAAATTTGGCCCGCAGACAGCCAGTTTGCTTGTTGGGTTCCTGTTAGACTGTGAGCACGCTGTGATCCGAAGCTGGGGCTGCAGAGAGGCCAGGACCTGCGTGGGCAGCAGGCAGAGGCACGCCCCCGGGCAGGCAAAGCTGGAGAGGCTCTCCTGTCACCAGGCTGAAGCAGCCTGCGTTGGGCCAAATGTCAAATATCCTCTTAGCCAGGTGCCTTGTGCAGGGCGCAGCCTGCACACCATCCACGGTCCCGTCCCTGGGACGCACAGCACAAATGTGGACTCAGTATTTGTTGAATGTGTAACTGGATGAAATCTGGTGTCGTCTCACTTGCTCTCTACCCTGTTCAGGGATATGTGACCTCCTTCCAAAGTGCTCAGCTCTTCTCGACAGGCGCCAGCCACAGCCACAGGCACCCTGGTCGCCTGCGTGCGCGTGCATCAATCACAGGCGTCAGTGACTTGGAACCCAAGGTCTTTGCGCCTTTGCAGGAAATCACCGTGGCCTGTGACCAAAAGGCTGGGGCCAGCGGCTGACTCACGGAGGGGGTCCCGGCCTGCCCTTGCCGCCGCCCCGGCCTCTTCCTTTCCATTCTCTCCCCACCGCCCCCCTTGAATTCAAGATTCCCCGGAGGTCGAGCCTGGTGTAATTACAAGGTATCTGCTGCCTCCCCATAAATCTAATAGACTTTTTGGCCTTGTCAGATTAAAACTTACCTATCAACCCGCTGCAGTCCTCTAGATCTCCCTAAATCTGTACTTGGGAGAGAATTTATGGCCAGGAATTGCATTTTGCAAAATGATTAAAGTTGCCAAACAGCCATAAAAAGTTGCAGGAGGAGATATGGTTTTTTTGAAAGTCTGCTTAATTTATAAGGGGTGGAAGGTTTATTGTCATTTAGAGTCCACAGCGAGGCAGCGATGGAGCGTTCGGCGGCAGCTGTGCACAGCTGCTCTCGCTTTATGCCTTTTACATGTTTTTAAATTGCCCTGTTTGAATCCGGCCTCCTGCAGCAGCAGCAGTGCCCCGGTTTGCAGGAGAGAGGCTCCCCCTGCCCTCGGGTGCTCGGCCCCACGTGCCCCAGCTCCCGGCCCCACCCTGGACGCACCTTCCAGAAGCTTTCCTGGCTGACCTCTCCGCATGCTGACCGCTCCCCCCCATCCCGCGGTCCTCTGCTGGCTCCTCTGAAACATGAACAAGCACTCACATGTGGAAAGGCTTTTAAGTTTATGGGCGATTTCATGTGTCGTATCTTAGTACTTATCACCCTGGATTAAATGATTAAATGAGATGAAACATGTAAAGCTCTAAACACAAGGCTGCTACCTAGAGAGCTAATAAATAGACTTAGGGCTCCCATTTATTGGCCACTTACGAGGTGCCAGGACCTCTGCTGTAAGCCTCTCATGCATTAATTCGTATCATCTTGGCTGCCACTCTATGAGGTTGCTGTTAATTACACCTGTGTTTTAGGAAGCGTAAAGAACTTATACCCAAGATCATGTAGTAATTGCTTAATGAATGTTAGCTGTTATTATTACTATTATTAGGGCAGGAGTCCTTTCTGGTTTTCTTCCATATCGGCACATAGTAGGCATTCAATAGGCACTGCCGAATGCAAGCATGTGTGCACACACAAACTAGACTCTTGTCATTGTCTGATGTCCCCTGTCCCCGTGAGTACAAGGATCAGACCTCTATCACCTTACATCTAACCTATTATTGAGCCTAGTGCAAGACACATACTAGGGCTCCTTTATATAGATGAAAAATGATCAGATAAATGTAATCCTTACAGCAATCCTACAAGGATGGTTTTAGGAATTCCACGTTGCAGAGGAGGAATAGGAAGCTGAGAGGGCATATGGCATCTGCTTGAGTCACAGCAATGATGGCAGAGGCAGGATTTTGGATTCCAAGTCCAGTGGGTTTTTGCTGTTGTTGTTGTTTTGTTTGTTACCACCGCCAAGCGGACCACCTGTTAGGCATTTGGGTTAGATTTAGAAATTTTTCTTTATCATTATCATATCTAATATTTAGTAAATACCTATTGCTCACCAGCTACCGATACTATCCCAATTTATCCTCACAACACACTTGCACGATGTATGTTATTTCCTCCATTTCATAGATGTGGAAACTGAGGCTCAAAGAGGTTGAGCAGCAACTGGCTGTCTGGAGTGCAAGCCCGGGAGTGTGGGATTCGAGGGGCAGCAGTTATGCCCTAGGAGGATGACGGCTATCACGAGGGACGGTCTCCAGACCCAGCCCGGAGAAGGGTGGGAGGAGCAGAGGAGTGGCAGGGAAGGCTTCTGAGAGAAAGTGGTTTCTGAGCTGACATTTGAAGGATGAGTAGGATTTGTCAGAAAAATGATAGAGGATCGTGTTCTTGGCAGAGGGAACAGCATGAAGGCAAGAAAGAGCAAGGCTCGTTGAAGGACTCGCGTGCTTAGCCTGGCCAGAGGCAGCTCGCATTTCCTCTGGCCTCAGTCTGGAACTCCACTCCCTGGGGTGCAAAGATGCTCAAGGTGGAAGAGGGGCCCAGGGGGGTCATCAGCACACACCCTCCTGTTTTTCCTGGGGTCAGGCTCACTCGCCTCCTGTGAGTGAGTGTCAGGGAAATGGAGCGCTACCTGCTACTGCCCCTTGATGGGTGCCTTGGTCCAGTGCGCTCAAACTCACCTCTGTCCCCCCATATCCTGGGGCTCTTTCCTCCTCCCCATAGTCTGGGCGTGGCTGGTGAAGGAGCCTCTTTCCCTGCTTTGCAAATGTTCCGTGACTTGGGAGAAGCCCAAAGACTTCTCCGGGCTTTTCATTCATTCATTCATTCATTCATTCATTCATTCATTCATTCAACAAATGCTTTCTGAGCTCCTGGTGTGTTCTAGGGGCTGGGAACACGGCAGCGAGCACAGCAGGCCGGGCCATCACCCGCATGCAGGTTGCTGTGAGTGAATGAGATGATTTTAGAGAATGACATGTGTCTTCATGTTAGTACAGTATGTTGGCGTGCTTGACAGTGACTGGGGGCACGAGGGGCCCTGCTCTGGTGTGCGGAATCCACTCCAAAGAGCGACGTTCATACGGAGATTTCAACGAGAAGAAGCCAATCAAAGGGAGGTCTAGAGGAAGAATGTTCCACATCGAGGGAGCCATCGGTGCGAAGGCCCTGGGATTGGAATACACTTTACCAACTCAGTAAGTGTAATGAGGCTGAGGCTTGGAGAGCGAGGGGCAGAGGTGGGGAGGGCTCCAGTTGTGCAGGGCGGGGCCTGTAGGCCACAGTCGGACTTCAAATTTTACCCCAAGTGCAACCAGAACTCTTGGAGGCTTGGGTCAGGGGGAAAACATGACTTGATTTATGTTTGTAAAGGATGATTCTGCCTTCTGACACCTACACATCTTAACCCATACCAAACTCTTTCCCAGATATATACTGTGCTCTGTTGCACCTCCAGGTACCTGCAAACCCCTTTCTAGAACATTCCTGTTTATGCTTCAGGAACCAGCTCCCCAGAACCCTCCTGGTGGGTCCTTTGTCTCCTTCAAAGGCGAGGGAAGCTCATGTTCTCGTTGTCATAATCTAATTACAGCCACATGCAGACACCTGTTTCTGAGTCCCTCTCTCCGTTGGACAAGGAGCTCCTCGAACACCAGGATTGCAGCTGACACAGCTCTGAGAGCCCAGGACCCCGCACACAGCCCAGCCCGGCGTGGATGCCTGACAACTTGACAAATGCTTCCTAGGTTGGCGTGAACTCTTTGGGTACGGAAGTCATTGACAGAAGCACTAGGTGAGCAAGCACCCTTCATTTAAACAAATAATAAGATTAGAAGCACGGCAACATGCTACTTACCATAACATTTAAACAAACTCTGTGCTTCCTAGGAATCTTGGCCTCTGGAGGTTGAGTTTCTAAGTGTTTACCAAAAACAACAATAGCCTATGATAGTCAAAGTTTGAATCGTCTCTCTCAAGGACTGTTCCCTTGTTACCTTGACACTATGAATGTTTGTTAAGAAAGAATCTGTTTGTTAGAATACTTCTCGTAAATACTTGTGTTGGAAAGAATACGTTTGTTAAAATACTTTCTGTGTTCCTGTAAATACTCGTGTTTGTGCGCTTACGGTTGTAAACCTGTGTTTGTCGCAGGTTGCTGCATATGCTGCCTGTTTTTTTTGTTTTTTTTCTAATGAATCCACCAATGTAGAAGAACTGTGCATCTCTTTATTAAGCCATGAGTGTAAGCTGTCTTCCTTGTTCAAGATGTATGCAAATAAAAACCAAAGAATTTTGATCACGCAACCTTCTGGAGTCAGATGCGCTACCGTAGCGCCACGAGGTCCTTAAAATCAAAGAATTTTGAGACAGCGCAACATCTCATTCTCCATCAACCATAAGCTCGGTGAGGGCAGGGACGTGGGAGCCTTATTTGTGGAGGCGTCCCCGGCACGGAGCCTGCCTGCCGCAGAAGGGGCATGAGCACACGCCCGTGGTGGAGGAACGGCTGGACGTGGGCGCACACACGCAGGCTCCCTCTGCCAAGCTCAAACGTGCCTCCTCCCCGCAATGAGAGCATGTGGCCAGACTGAAGCCTGCCGATTGATTTTACAGCAATGGGGAAGCTAGCTCATGCCCAGCCTGCCTGGTCACGGTGCTGGGACCTGTTCTCACCCAGGCAGCCCTGTTTAGTGTGGCACAGACTGGGCTATGGCTATAACCCCTGTGTAAATGCTAAAATCTGCATACTTGACCACTGGGGTGCCCAGCCATGAGATATGAGGAAACAACTGGAAATTGAAATATTCAGTTTTCACTCAACTATGTGGCAAAGACACTAAGACCCTGCACAAGTACCGTGTTTCTCCAAAGATAAGACCTACCCATAAAATAAGCCCTAGCAGGATTTTCTGAGCATTTGCACAATATAAGCCCTACCCCGAAAATAAGACCTAGTGATGGGCGTGGCTACGCACCGTGTCTGCACAACTCATGCATTTTGTTGTGGAGAGGTAAAGAAGACGAGCAGCCCTTCTCATCTGCGCCATCGTGACAGCTACTATCCCAGAGGTGACTGGAAATGTGCGGGCAGCCCCACCAACAAGGTTGGCTTCCCCTGTCAGGTCCCAGCCATCCTGTGCATGCTGCAAGCTGAGGCTTTGAGGGGAAAATAACACATCCCTGAAAATAAGCCCTAGGGTGTCTTCTTGAGGAAAAATAAATATAAGGCCCTGTCTTGTTTTCTGGGAAACATGTTAATTTAGCTTCTTTGGGCCTTAGTTTCCTCATTTATAAGATGGGTATTGTAATATACTTTGCAAGGCAGCTCTCAAAAGCCAAGGGGCCCTGTTTCATTGAGGAGCAGACAAGGGTCACTGGCTCCTCACTACCTCCATCCTGCCTTGGCCTCTGACATCGGCGTAGAGGATCAGGAAAAAGGACCTGGCCCAAACTCTGGTTAAATCCATGATGGCTTTGCTCAGACACCCCAGAGTCCAATGCGATGGGAGGTTTCGAGGTTACACCAGACTGTTGTTCTTAAACGCCCAGTGCAGGTGGCCAACGTGTAACCTGGCTTGAGCGCAGCTGCTGTGTTCCTTGCTTCCCCCTCTGGGACAAAGGCATCCTGGCAGGTGGCTCAGTGTGACTGGGTGCCAAAGGCTGACCCACCCCTCTCAAATGATGATGTTAAACTTCACATCCTAGGGCCTCTGTTATAGTATTAATTCATTCCACAAATAGTTACCAAGAGCCTACTATGTGCTAGTGCCAGGCAGCACTGGGGACACAGGAGAAGATGACAAGTCCCTGCCCTCATGGGGTCTGCATTCTAGTGGGAGAAGGTGGGAGATTTGGGGTAGAGACTCACAGGCAGCTCACAGGGGTTGTGAGGTCGAGTGTCTGATTTGAGGTCTGCAGGTGTTAGATGCTCGCTGTGAGAGTCAGTGTCCGCCCTCAGGCCTGACTCTCTAACGCCCTGCCTTGGAGTTGCTGGGAGAATTAATGGCGACGTCCGCAGAGCGTCTGGTGTGGCGTGGGCACATCCTGCGTGCTCACATGTTGGAGATCCCTTCCTGCCTCCAGACACAGATCTTGGGTTTTCCTTCCAGTGTCTTCTGCTCTGGCTTAATTTTCAGGCAGAGCAGGAAGTGACAGATGCCTTTTTGCTCAGGGCTGAAGGCGAGCCACTTCTTTGGGTTCAGGGACAGCCTGCTGGGGGAGGCGGTACAGGCTGAGACCTGGGGCGAAAGGACGCCCTTGTGCCTCCGCCCACGCTGCCAGGGCTGAAGCAGAGGGAGGCAGGGCCCGGCCTGAGGCCTGAGGTCCCCTCAAAGGTGACAGGCCGAGGAAGATGCAGGTAGACCAGAGGGAGGGAGCACGGGACAGGCAGAGCAAGAAACACCAAAAATAGTGACACCCACTTCCCAAAGTCCCACCCGGGAGCCGTGGCATCTCTCCTCATAACGCATCCATGTGGCTGTTCCAGAACCAACCGACGAGGCCCCCGCTTGAACCCCCCACCAGCAAAGCGGAGGATGGCATTGTTGTCCATCATAAAAATCAATGGTTCTTTTGCTAAGTGGTCAATATTTATTTGGCTTTAGCATTGTTTAATTCAATGCCTCAATTAAAGATAGTGTAATGTCTGCTTTGGTCTGCAGCCCCGGCTTCTGCGTGTCGTTACCTCATCTGTTTGAGATCACTCACGTCCTTACGTCTCTGCTCCTTTGTCCCCTTGCATAACTCAAGGACAGGAGTAATTGACGTGAAACTTTTAAAAATTAATTTCGCTGCATATGCCACTGAGGGAGAGTGCAAGTCCTCCCAGCCATTTATAACGTCACGGTGATTGGTCCTGACAAAACAATACCTTAAAAACTCACCAAAGTAAATTATGGCCCGAGCAAATGGCTGCTCCGCGGCAGGGCCGGAGGCTTGGAGGGGAGCCAGGCACAAACAAAGTAATGTGCTTTTGATATTAATAACAGAGATGATATTGATCTGCAAGCTAGTGTCACTTCTCCACTCTGGCAAGGAGATTGCTCCCGGCATTTAGTCCACTGAAAGCCACTTTCCATGCAGGCCATTTAATTTTGTGAGTCTTTAATTATGTGAAATGGAGTCTAGTTAAAGGGCCAGGTCCCAGTTTTGCCGGGCGGGGACGTGGGCTGTGATTCAGGAAGCTGTCAGAAATGAATATAACTCAATTCTTAGATCTGCAAATGCAGTTGTCTTTCTAAATGTTTATTTCATTCCTGCACTTCTCTGGCCTGGTGCCACCGTGCATCAGGACAGACACAGACTCTGATTACAGGACCACATTTTTCAAAGGACCTGAAGTTAATGTGCCTGTTTTCTGCATAATAAAAGTCATAACTCACAGGGGCCGCCAACGCCTCTGCCCTGAAAGGGGGCCTGGACGGGCTGCAGGAGGGCGGTGCATCCCAGCCCCGGCAGCCTGCGTGTCCTGGGCTCGGCCCAGTTTTGGACATTCCATCTCCTCGTGGAGCTGTGACAGACCACGCTGGCAGCAGACCGCAAGTGAGACCACAGGCCAGCCCGTGGGGCAGATTATGAGTCAGATCATGCAGAGGTTCATGAGTCAGACCGGGGAGGAGCCCACATACCAGACCACAGCGACGGCCACAGCTCCTGATTTGGGCTTCGAGAAACATCATCACTATGGCTCTCTCTACGCCTTGGGTTTACCTGGGTGTCCTTCCTCAGGTCAGGTCAGGTCAAAGTCTCTTTCTCCCCTTTTCTTACGGACACACAGCCCTATATGCGTCTGTACGTGCTGCAAAGGCGCCGTTTCACACGTGTGCACACGTGTGAACACGTGTGCACACACGTGTTCCTGCAAGCACACACACGGCTCTAGAAGCCCTCGCAGCCTCTGCTTGTTCCTCACGTTGTGTGCTGTGTCCCTTTTCCTATTAGATCCCTCCTGAGCTTTGCCGAGGGTCCTCTTGTTGAAATACATTTTCAGCATTTGGTGTTCAGCCTGCCTGGGCCGTGCTGTGGCTGTTCTGGTGCCACCCAGGTGTTACATGGTAGGAGCTACCTGGAGGTGCACTGGCCAGCCTGTCTGGGGACACTCTGCTGCTGCCCAGGCCCTGAGGACTTTATTACAAAGAGGGGTCGGTGTAGAACAGCACGTCTTGAAGCCAAGGACTAAGAGCTGAGCTTATCAGAAGCACAGAGTCTCCACACTTTGCTCACAGGAGGGTGCATCAGAACTTCACTCAGAGTCCTTTTCTCTTACTTTACAAATAGTTTTTGCCGTTTTTTTTGTTTTTTTTTCCGGCCCCCAGGGGGTTTTGGAGTTGGAAAAAATAGGTGGAGAGTGGCTTCTAGACGTAAAAACACCCAATGCAGCAGGAAATCACAGCTGAAAGTAAGGGACAAGAGAACAAGTCTAATTTTTATTTTTTAAAAATATATTTTATAATAATAGAGACGGAGTCTCACCCTTGCTTAGTCTTATCTTAAACTCCTGACCTCAAGCGGTCCTTCTGCCTCAGCCTCCTAGAGCACTGTGATTACAGGCGTGAGCCACCATGCCTGACCAGAGAGAACAACTCTAAAAGCAGATAAAAGAACTCAATACAGTGAAGGTTTCCAAGGTGAATTTTATAGGGAAATGTGAGGAAATGGGTTGTTTTAGTTCATGTTGCAGTCGCTATAACAGAATGCTCAAGACTCGGTAGTTTGTACACAATAGATGTTTATTTGGTTCACAGCTCTGGAGTCTGGGAAGTCCCAGAGCATGGCACTGGCATCTGGCCAGGGCCTTTGTGCTGTGTCATTCTATGGCAAGAGGTGGAAGGGCAAGAGAGGGTGACAGCAAGAGAGCAAGAGGGGAGTGGCACTTGTTTTTATGACAAAGCAACTGTTGTGTTAACAACCTAATCACCACTTATCAGGCCCCACGTCCAACAAGACCACATTAGGGATTAAGTTTCCAACACAAGAACTTTGGGGGACACATTCTAACCACAGCAGGTCATACACTCAAACATATTTCAGAAATGTTGGGTTAAAGAAAGTCAGACAGGTTTCTTGTCTGCAGGAGGTTTCAGTGCCCCCAACATGCTGGTATGCCATTATGCAATGTGTACCTCAAAAGGCAGGGGGTTAGAATTCAATTTTTCACAAATTTATGATTTGTGATTTTTTTTTAAATTCTAGCCCCTACTCCAGAGGATTTTGAGAATTTGGTATTTAGCTGAACAATCTCAGGGTAGTACTGATGTTTACACTGGCAACTGCAGTGGACAGCATCTGTTTTGGGCAGCCACTGACTCTCCTTGCAGAAA